GGGAAGTAATAGAACAAGGGATCCAGTTAGATTTCCGGTTTTGCTTTTGTACTGATATAGCAGCATAGTTACACAATGCATAAACTTAATATCACTACTAATTACCCAATCATCTCTATTCATCCAAGTGGGGAGAAAGGTATTGGAGAAAGGTATTGGGTGTCAGAGGCAAAGGATAATATGCCACAGAAAATAGTAGTATTAATATTTAAGTCTTTTTTAACCATGTCATGGGACAATATTCTCTGCTGCTCTGCATCAGTGCTTTGCTGTTCTTAATAACTAAATTTTCATTAAAATATAGAGTTAAGTAATATAGAGCAATAATATACAGAAATTGCAACTCTTTCCAATCCCATCAACTATCAGATCAAATATCTGACCTATATGTTTCATCTAAACAACCACTTAATCATTTTATAGTATATTGAATAGAAACACACATCCAGTCTAATAAAACCAGACTATTGACAGAATCATACAAGCGTCTCTCAAAATATAGAAAAAAGCTGGGAGAAAGAGAACTGTTCCCATCTGTAGAGAACCATCTCCCCAGATTGATCAAAAAAGTCCATGGTGTGTGTGTGTGTGTGTGTGTGTGTGTGTGTGTGTGTGTGTGTTGAATGTGAGCAGAATTCTAACATTCTGGACAATTCCCAGTATTTTGAACATATAGTTCTATTCAGCCACATATTTCACAACCCAGGAAGTTTTTGACCAATGATATTTTGGCCACATGTTGGGAGTGTTTGCCATCTCCTTGCAAAAATACTTTTGATTATTCTCAACCATATTAAAAGAAAATTAACAATAAGTGATTAGGGTTTATTGCCTTTCATTATCAACCAATCAGCTGCAATTCTTAGGCTGAGGCTAAATAATCTTTTAAACAGTTCATTTTAGCTGGTAGAAAATGAATCCAAATAATTACTTAGAAAATAATCCTTCTGATATCTTATGTAATGTATGAGGAAACAGAATTGTGATAGTCTTTTCAAACAACTGCCGGCTCATTTCATCAGCAGGGGATGAAAATAAAAGTTATTTTTCGAGAACTGCCAGTTACGGTAAAACTTTTTGAAAATCACTTCAAGAAGAAGTTTTTTTATTAACATTATTGCAAACTATCAAGAAAGATTACGTCAAATGTTAAAATAACCATACCAACTAGTGAAAGCAAAAATAAAATAACAAATTCTGCGGATGCGAACTTAGAAAGGGCTATGTGTGATATATATATATATATATATAGTATTATAAACTGGAGAACAATCAGAAAATGCTATGGTACATTTTGTTAGGAATAGATTTTCACACAGATATATAATACTAATTTTCAAAATAATTGATATGTCATTGTTTCTAAGATTATGGTCATATGCACTCATAATACATGATTAATACAAGGATAAATACTGCAATCTGAGACTATGCTGATAATTCGCATTGCATTTCTGTCAGAAGTACCAAGGTGCTTCCAGGTTGAAAAGATTAGCCGGTGACATCATTGTTACCTGGGGGACGTCCAGTTGGGGGCTCCTTTCATGTCCTGGTTAATGTGCCCACCAAAATAGTACCTATCTTTCTACTTGAATGCATGCTTTCAAATTGCTAGGTTGGCAGGAGCTGGAGCGAATGACTGGAGCTCACCCTGTCTCATGGCAGCATTTGGGTCTGAAATGCAGGCTTGCTGCTAGTCAACCCAGTGTCCTAACACATGAGCCACTGTGCTAGTGTTGCTGGTAATTGAAATATATAGAACCGTGGTGGCGAACTTATGGCATACGTGCCAGATGTGGCACTCAGAGCCCTCTCTGTGGCCACATGTGCAGTTGCCCCAGCCCAGCTCCATTCACACTTCTCCATTGCATTTCACTCAATCAATTCTAACTTCTTGTGAAAGAAAAAGATTTTGCAAAGTTGGAATTGATTGAGTGAATTTTTTCACTCGCACACTTCACAATGGGGGAGACGGGGTCCCGCCCTCCTCCTGAAGCCCATTACGATGTGGAGCCACAATGTGACCCTGCGTCATCTCGGCTTGAAAAAAAAAAGCAGTTGCTTTTCCTGAAGAGTGTTGGGATGCCCCGCCTCCTGCCAGCCAGCTGAGCATGGGCACGCTGCTCCTGGGCTCGTCAGCCTTCAGACATCATTCCCACCCAGCACCAGTTCATGGTTCTTACCCCCCATGGGCTGAGGGGAGAGAGAGAAACAGAGGGAGGCAGGGGGGGGGGAAAGAGAAAGAGAGAAAGAGAGACAGACGGTGGGAACGAGAAATGATATTACAAAAGTTTTTCTTTTTATTGTTACTAAACGTAATGTTTCAAAAACAGAAAAAGTCACCCCAAAGGAGTCTTTGAGGGCTGAATGCCGAAAGGCACATTTTTTCTCTGCCTTCTGCATTCCCACCCTGCGCTGCCTTCTGCGTTCCCAGCCCACACTGAAGCAAACAAAATAGGCTGGGGTCTCCTTGCTTAGTGGCCCCACCGAGCCCGCTTGCAAACTCTGCTGAGCGCAGCTCCAAATGTTTGGCTCGTATGTTCCTCCTAGCCAGTGCCAGTGCTGCAGCAGTGGCAGGGAAGGTGCGCAACCTGCCTGCTCCACTCTCGCTGGCCAGAGATGGGGCCCCATGCCGCCACATCCCAGCCAGAGTGCTACATTTGTTTGCTTGCTGGTTGCCTCCAAGGAGGGAGCTGCGCTCAGGCTGCCTGAGCCCCTGCTGCAGGGGGAGAGAGAGGGAGAGGGAAGGGAGAGCTGTCCCCGACAGGATCCAGGTTGGAGTTGCCTTAATTTGTGTGGATCTCTAATGCTTGCCTTTGCCTTCCAGCCTCCACTCCCCCTCCACAGCCCAAGTGGTTGGATTCACATGACACGTGAAGCTGGGCAAGAGAGCACAGATAGATAGATAGATAGATAGATAGATAGATAGATAGATAGATAGATGAGCCAGAGAGAGACAGATAAAGAGAGGGAGGAAAGGAAAGAGAGAGACAGAGAGAGAAACAGAGAGAGGCAGAGAGAGGGGGGAGGGAAAGAGACAGAGAAAGAGAGAGGGAGGGAGGGAAAGAGAGAGACAGAGAGAGGGGGAGGAAAAGAGAGAGAGAGGGTGTGAAAGAGAGAAAGGGAGGGAAAGAAAAAAGAGGGGGGAGGGAAACAGACAGAGAGAGAGAGGAAGGGAAAGAGAGAGAGAGAGAGAGAAATACAGATGGGGAAGAGAGGGAGGGAAAGAGAGAGAGGGAGAGAAAGATAGACAGGGAAAGAGAGGGGGAGGAAAAGAGAGAAATGATATTACAAAAGTTTTCCTTTTTATTGTTGCTAAACATAATATTTCAAAAGCAGAAAAAAAATGAAGGAGCAAAGAAGTTCATTTATCACGTTTTTCTTAGAACAATTAGCTGAACTCTGCGTTGTTTATCATTATTTTAGGTAGAAAAATCTCATTATTCAGGTTAAATTGCCGTGTTGGCACTTTGCGATAAATAAATGGGTTGTGGGTTTTGGGTTGCAGCTTGGGCACTCGGTCTCTAAAAGGTTTGCCATCATTGATATAGAATATCCTCAATGTTAAATACATTAAAAATAATACATTCACCTGCTCTTTCCTATAATTCTACTTGTACTAAGGAAGATGTTCCTTCAAAAAAATAAAGGTTATAATATATCTTGAGAAAGCCTACTCATTATCTCCAAAATTATTTATGTCTCAGAACTTTAATAAATATTCCTATGTCCCTTCAGCAATAGTAGTATAAAGTAAGTTTATCATAGTAGAAAGTGACCTCTGTTTAATAAACACACAGTATGCCCTGCTTTTGCAATCTAAAATTATATTCCTTCTTGCTGATTGTTTAACTAACAAAACAGAATATTTGTGGCTCAGAGCTGAACTGTGGGATCTTTGCTCTCTGAGGTTAGTGGTTTTCTTGCAGACATTTCATTACCAAAGTAGGTAGTATCATCAGTGCTAGAAGAGAGTGGGGTTTGGAAAACATTTATTCTTCTATCACTGATAATGTTATCTAGTTTGATAATGAAAAGTCTGCAAGAAAACCAAGCTCAACCCCTCTCCCTTCTAGTACTGATAAAGTTACTGCATTCCTAAGAATGAACCATTACAATGATTTTTAAATGAAATAACACCGAGTCACAGAAAAACACTATCATAGTATACAAAATTCAAAAATTCTCTATTAAATGAACCATTGGACAAATTTTAAAAGACTTAAAGTAAACATCCACTAAATATTTTAAAGAACAGAAATTAATGATTATAGATTATTGTGTCACAATTGGTAAGTAGAACTGTAACAATTTTTCTTCACAGTTTGTAGAAATGACTAGAAAACAGATTTTACTTTTCTCAAATTATTTGGGAACATTATTATTTGTAGGAAATTTTGAAGCTCACTTTAGTCTCCAAGGATGCGAAGAGTATACAAAGAACAATGCCAGCACAGCTGATATAAACAATACAATTAAAACAATAAAATTATTCCGCAGAATTAGGCATACTAATTTGAAATCTTACTAGAATGTTTAGGATTAATTAATTATTAATGGCTTATGCTCTTTATTCTCTGTTTTGATTCCTGAGCACTGTTTACTATTTTTGTTGTTGTAAAAGCACTAGAAATAAGGAACAGCCAAATAATTATATAATTGGACCTGTTCCAGAGAAAAGTCTTTAAACTAAGATGTATACAACCTGTATTTGTAAATTTATGTGCCGCTCCTTTCCTCATTTGTTTCTCAATGAGATGTAAATAATCATGAAAGTTTATTCAAATTTATCATAGTTAATTATGATAACCATTGTCAGAACAATCAACCTTAAGCCAATTTCAAACTACAATTTCATTTCTCACTTTGGCTGCAATATGACTCTAAAGACATCCTTAGTAGTGTTGTTTGCCAACTATTAAACCCAACTGGTAGAGATAGCGATGGCCAAACATATATAAAGCAAATCTGAAAGGAAACATGTCCATAATCATCCATACCTGAGCAATGGCTGCTTGGGATAAGAAGGCTGATCACTGTTTTGGGCTGTTTGAGGCTTTTTTGTAACTTGTTTATAAATATTTCTTGCTGTCACACCAATCCAGAGCATTGTAGAAAGTGTAGAATAATGCAGTACAATGCCAACCTAAAATAAAATGGTGAAAAATAGAAAGGCTCAGCACAGGGACACAAAAATAGAACATATTATCATTATTGTTTTTTGTTCATATTGTCAAATATAAGCCTTTTTGCTCAAGGAAATGCATTTGGGGATGTTTTCAATATTCCGCTGCCTTTCCAGGCTTTAATCAGTGTGTAAGAGAATGAAAAAGAAGATACAATAAGGTCTGTTTCTCAATATAAACTGGTGTTTATTATTGTTGATACCTGGAAAAATAGGGCTTTTATAAAAAGACAACATATAAAAGTCTCCTCCCTCTTTGTTGAAAAATGGGTTGCTTATGTTTGAAACACATAATGGACAATGCTTTTAGTTCCTTTGTTAGATAATCTCTATTCCCAGTGTGCCCAGATGTCTTGTTTAGAGAAATAATCCTGCTCCAACAATGTGTATGTTTCAAAAACAATGAAAAAAACAGCAAAGTAACAATCATCAGCACCAGGGATGGGTTCTACTTACCTTTACTACCGGTTTGCAGCCGGGCCGCGTGCGCGGTCGCTTCACTCGCTCGCTCTTTTGTGCAAGCACAGAAGCTTCTGTGCATGCGCAGATGCATTTTGATGACGTTGGGGTCGGTGGGCGGAGCCTCCCACCAGTTTTACTACCGGTTCTATAGAACCGGTATGAACCGGGGGCAACCCACCACTGATCAGCACCCCTAAAACACACTTTCTCATCCATTGCACAATTGAACCATGAACATATCCAAAAGTGGTCCTTGCTGTGAACAGGTCAAAATTCCCTAATAAGGCTTGTGCAGAATTTTTCCACATTCTAGGCTCTAGTTCAATTGAGACTTTTTGAGGAACAAAACATTACAGCTTTAATGCATATTAGGAAGCTGCTACTTAGGCACGACACAATTCCCTTTTTATATCCATATGAGGGTTAATCTTGGTATTTCTTTCTCCCATATTTCTCATGGGTTTTTTTGGTGAGACGGTCTTTTGCCCTGTGTATCTTGGCCGTTAAGTTGGGTTACTGTTAGTAGTTGACATAATTGATAACTCTATCCTGAGAATCTCTTGCTCTCAGTTTAACTCCCACATTTTATTCCAGGTAAATATTCATTTGTTCCTTGCCCTCCTGCTGTAGAAAGATATAGTGGTGCCCTGCCAATATAGATGCTTTCCACTAAATTAGAAAGGAATTAGGCAATATAATTATGTTTTTTATATATGAGAGATATCTCATATCTTCAAATGTATAATAAGTTTACCACATACTGACCTATCTGGAGAAAGGTTACCATGTTATTGCTTTATGTGAATCACATGGATGAAATCTTTTGTGTGTTTAATGGAAATTTGCAGTTTAGCTAGCATATTGGCACCCACATTATAGAATATTCTCCCTCCTGAAATAAGGCTGGTTTCATCACTTCTGAGTTTTTGAAGGTCCCTCAAAATCTGGTTGGATAATAAACCTGCTACTGTTTTACTAATTATGGAACATGTAATGCAAAATTAAATGTTTTGGGTCAACAAAAAGGCAATCTTTTTTTATTATTAACATTCAGTTCAGTGTATTTGAAAGACTGGAATGATATTGCTGAAGTCTTTATTATTAAATTCACACAGCAGCAAATTACTGACCATTGGACCCAACTTGGCAATATGGACTGAGTCTCTCATCTTACTTTCTTCTAACACCGAGATATAAATAAAAGCACACCAAAATATATAATCAAAAGTTCTTGAAACAGTCTTCATTATTTGCTATAAAATATATGAAGATGCAGCTTACTTTGTAAAAGAATCAGGTTTGGAAGTCTAGAATTATAAATATGGTAGTGTAGGAATACTGGCTCAAATTGAACTATTCTCCTAAATATTACAAATTTGCAAATATTAAAGGAGACATCTCAAGCTGGATTTCCTAATTCCTCTGCAATAAAGTGCCATTTAAAAAATAAATCCAGTACAAATCCAATGTTACATCATAATTTAACCCAACACTAGACAAACATTTCACTAAAAATAAAACCCAGTTTTCTGGCAGTAAAGACCCCGTTTAAACAGAATAGTGTATGAATCTGGAAGAGGAAGAATCTGCACTGTAGCAGATGGAATTTTGTAACTGTCCAATCATCTTATATAGTTTTAAAAAATCTGCAGAAAAAATATTTTCTTGTATTTTGTTAGCAGTAAGAAAATCACCTTCAACTGCCATAAATCTTCAGCAAGCAATTTCTCTGTTTCTTTTAGTTTGTATATCTGTGCTCAGATAAATCATAATCCAGTTTGCCTCCAGTGAAAAGGGTTATAGAAAAATGCCTTGAAGCTATATCTATGTCCCAAATTTTCTCCCACATTGTCACTATTTTAATTTTCATCCTCAGAAACTTTTTCAAACTAATCCACCATTATCCATATCAATCCACCCTCAAGAAATCAACCAGAGTTGCTACCAACAGTCCATGTTGTTTTGCATGAACATTCACAATCAGTGTTAGTGCAAAGCTGCCCAACTATTATATCAAGAAGGTGCCATTCCTTGATTTGATATAATCAAATAGTAGTGACATTATAATATGAAACTGAAATTGCTTAGCATCTTAGGGCTAGAAAGAATGAGCCAGCAGTTCCGAATAGTAGGAAAATTACTTATTTCCATTTTAGCTGGGGATTAAAAGGAAAGATAGGAAATCTATGTTTCCATTCAAATTACTGGAGCTCTATGGAGCTCAAGGAATGTCATTTTATTTGTAGATTCATGCAGGGGCAGAGCTGATCAAACGCCACATGTAGAGGATGCCCTAGGAAAGGCATTAACAAACTATTATTTGCAGGCCTCAGGAAAAATAACATTGGTCTCCCTGCATTCCCCAGCACAGAATTCAGATTCTCAAACAGGTTTTTGGCAGAAGTTATTTATTTATATAAAATGACCATATATTAAACTTAAATAGATTAAATTATCCTTTTGGCAATTTTTTTTAAAATATAAGGTGTTGCAGGCACACATCATTTCGGGCTTTAAGGAAAATAAGTAACACTTGGTGTTATACCCAGAAACAAATAGGATTAAAAATTGGCATCCTATAGGCTCTACTACATAGACTGTAGAATAATAGAATTGGAAGGGACCTTGGAGGTCTTCTAGTCCAACTGAGCAGGCGACTATACCGTTTCAAATAAACAATTGTCCAGTCTCTTTTTCAAAGCCTCTAGTGATGGAGCACCCAGGCAAGCTGTTCCATTGGTTGATTGTTCTCACTGTTAGGAAATCAGATATTAGATACTCTGGATTCCAGCCTAGACACCATTAACTTTTCAAGTGACAGCAAAGAAAGCCTATGGAGAGTCCATTGCACAAATTAAGCCTGGAAGTTGCCACTGAATTCACCACTGTTAAATGAAGCATTTGGGGGCACTTTTTTTACAAGGTTGTCAGATATTTGGAGGCACAAGGCCTTTGATAATTCATTCTATAATACAGAGCCATGCATTTTCATTCTATGCCCCAACCTTTTTCTTGGATGTTTGAATAAGGCGAGCAACTCACTTACTTTTGTGTGCTTGGATGATACAGCCATCTGGGCATGATTGGGTTTCAGTTTTTCATAACATAATAACCCTATCCATACCTAGTTAAGTGTGGTGTAAACATACCAATAGTCACCACAGGACTTCACTATTTCTTCCTTTCTTTCCTCATCTTTGGGACTACAAAAAGACTTTCCTATTGCATCTTTCCTTAGTTCTGGTATCTAAAGGAGAAAAGTTACTATCACAAAACTTAAGATGCTGGTAAAGAAGCTAGTTGCCTTCTATTACATCAGGGGTGTCAAACTTGCATCGTCACTGCAGCGTCACATGACATATAGGGACTTTTTTTGCCTTTGCTAAACTGGGCATGGGTGTGGCCATCGTGTGACGCATCTGACCCACGGGCCATGAGTTTGACAGCCCTGCATTACATGAAGTGGTTGATGTTTATTATCTTTCTGCCTCTTATTTTTTTGATGAGGCAAGAAATCATAGGCTGATTTCATGGCTGAACAAGTCATAATGATCTATTCTTATATAATACAACATCATTAACCCAAAAGCTGAGTTTATACATGGTGTTAATAGAGAACCAACCAAACAAACAACTATACTATGTCTTACTGCAGTGTCTGAAACCTGCCTTATTAATCTCTAACAATTAAAGAACCCACTTTCTGATTATAATCCTGCTATTGGTGTTGTTACTTGAACTGTATATTGACGATATTTATTATATTTAAACTGTCTACTGGGTAAACTGCTTGAGCATAATTTATTTATGAAAAATGTAATGTATAAAGAAATGACTATTATGAATGAAAATATAAAACTCCAGCAGCAGGCACATGCTTCAAGGAGTAACAGTAGTTATTATTCTTTTTATACAACTCTCCCTTCCCAAGGAAACTAGGGAGACATAAAATAATAATAGAATAGAATCACATCATAATAGAAGAGAATCACAGAGTTGGAGGAATCACTTAGACACTATCAAATTGAATCCCCTCTCAGTATAGAAATCTAAATCAAATCCCTGACAAATGGCTACCTGGATGTTTCATCTAAAGCGGAAGAGCTTCTCTTGTAACTCATTTTGCCATCCAACTATTCTTACTATTTAGAAGTATCTTCTAACATACTTGGAATCTGACTCCCTTCAGTCTCCACTTGTGTGTTATTAGATTTATATCTCCAAGTCACCCAGTGAGCTTCCCCAGCTGACAGTGGACTAAAAACTATTATACCATATATTCTGATTATCTTGCTCCTCATGCTGTGTGAAGTGACATGCGAGAGGTCCTGACCTTCCTCTGAGTGGCAAACTTTGAAGTATTTGAAGGCTGCTATCATATACACCTTTAGAATTATTTTCTTAACCCTAAACATTTTCAGTTCCTTCATTTTCTAAAGACTGAAGACAGTTTTTGGACAGTTCACCTTTACTCGTCATTCTCTGAAACAGTTCTATTT